AAAAAAAAACTACGACTATATAAAAACCATCTTGAGGGTGTGGGTATGGGTGTGGACAATCTCTCCTCATCCACTCACCCCCACCCCCACCCCCACACCTACCCACATCCTTTTTCAAAAAACAATACGAGAGGATCTTCCACCCCTCTTTCGGGCACGCAGAACCCTTCATGATCGTTCCTTGGACCTAAGGACATACCATGGAAAGTTCGGCGACGCTAGCTATTACAGGGACCGAATGCATAAAGAACAGACAGACAGACAAGCAGACATTCTTCTTTATATATATATAGATAATGACTTTATACTTATTAGATTGATTATATTTACCTATGTTTACATAATCACTTCCTTTTTTAAAACCATAATGAAACTAGACTTTGTAATCTTTATTTCGTTATATTCAAATAATTACAAAAAATTAGAGTTTCAACGAAGGAAAATAAACATGAAAGTCTTTGGATTGTGCCTCTATCGAGTGATCATCGCCATGATTTCTAAGACTGAAAAAGTTTAATTCTTCCACATTGATACAATTAAGTCTCGTTGCATCTCTTGTAAAGTTATTTGTTACAGTTTTCAGTTGATCATAACCAATCATTAATTCTGTCAGACGAGGTAAACGTGTTTTTGATTCATTTAACATTTGCTCAACATAATCAATATGTGCTTGAACAAAGTCAACACTTGTGAGATGGAGATATTGGACAACTTCAAATGATCCATAAGTATTATCGTGTTTAGATTTAGCTGAATCTGTTGATTGTGCTTTAAAATTTACAATAATTAAAGATTCCAATAATGGAAAACATCGAGCCAGCCGAACAAAAAATTCATGTTCGAATGGAATTCCATCTTTTATACATAAACAACTAACATTCTTGAATATCGTATTCGTAAAGCTATTGCCAATAAATCCTATACACTTAAATATATACGGAAGTGAGAAAACATGATATATGATATCAGATTTATTGATATAATTCATGCTGCAGCCAATTTGTCCAAATTTGACATTAGAAAAAGTTCGTTGAATATCATTATTTGATAAAGGAGTAACAGGATGATTAGTACTAGTAAAAGTGCAGATATAAAAAACGAATGTTTGAAGTTTTGACAAATGAATAAGAATATCATTTTCAAGTTGAATACCATCGACAAGTCTATTTCGTGTGAGTATTTGAATATATAATGTTAAATCTTGAAGATTACGCATTCGATGAAGAAGAGGTACAACTTGATTATCATATGCATCAGTTAAAGGTTCATACTTCAATGAGAAACATTTCAAATTAGGTAGATCACTCTAAAACATACAACATATAATCAATTTTTATCATTTTCAGAAATTAAAAAGGTTCATAATCCTAAGTGATAGATTTATAGATTTTAACAAATTTTTCATGAATCTTTTTAATCACTCAAAAAACATAAATTTTTAGTAGATTAAAACATGATGAATTATATTGAGATATTATAAATCAATGAAAAAATGATATTAATTAAATAATCTTATCAATGTACTCTAGTATTTCTCTATTACATATTAAATTAAAAGGAATTTTTCTACATTAAGTACTTTATTCTATTGAGAAAATATGTTGAAATTATCAAAGTCAATTACTCATAAAACAAACAATATTGGATCTTTGTAACTTACTGTGTTGAATTTCATCGATGAATTATCTTTGGCATTAACGATAATAACAATAAATGTAGATAATTGATTGAGACGACCATCAAGTAAACAAAGACAATCTCCAAAATTATTCACAGTAATACATAATTTAATTAGATTTGAAGAAACAAAAGTAGTTGATGGTAAATCAATAAATGATAAAACTGAATTCTTAGCAACAAATGATCCAGTATAACTCAAATACTTAATATTTTCAAAGAAATCAACCAATTTTATAAATACATTTGTCGTTTGATCTATAGTTCCTTTTCTACCATTGTAATCATTGAGTATTGTAAGATCTGTAATTTGTTTTTTGAAGTTGCATCGGAAAAGTAATTCATCTAAATACAAAATACAAATAGATATTCTAATCTTCTATGTTTTTATTTCTATAGATTTCATTCATTAGATAAATCAATTCATAATAAGTTATTTACCTGTACAACAATGTGAAAAAATACTTGCATCATAATTGAATATTTTCAGTTGAGTAAGATTTGAATAAACACCAGCACGTAAAATACGGTCCATAGTTGTTGTTTCCAAAACAAGACATTTAACATTGTATTGAATTTGAGGTAATATTGAATTACAAAAACGATTTAGCATTGCTTCATTAATTGAATAATTATCGGTAAAATCAAAATTGAGAGTATTTGTAAAAATTTCATCTTGTGCTAGAAGGCCAAGGCGTTCAACTCCGATTAATGAATATAGAACATCCATATTGTTTAATCTTTTTAAAATCTTTAGTAATATCTCAACAGGTAGATCAAGTAGATGAATGTCAGGAAGATTCATGTTTGCTTCTGAACGTTATGTCGTTTTTTTCAAGGCTCATATATATATATATATATATATCTCCTTTTTTTTTCTTTTGTCCAGCTTGATTACGGTCAGTCAAGAATACAGCACATGGCCTCGTCGAAGAAAAACAATGACATCAGTGTTCAGTCCAGTTTGATTGTGGATGCTAGACATTGATATTTTCAGATATCGTTCCGAAAAAAAGAATTCATGTGACAATGGCTTTGTGGATAAGTGTGAGCATTCGACGAAATTATTAAACATATTTTTTCTTTAATAATGAAGCAAGTCATTAGCCGTTTCGAGAATATTCAAGAAGATCGAATATATTCTGGAAAGTTTCAATTCTGAATAGTAAATTAATATTAATTTATGTAAAAACACATGAATACTATATTCAATTTTGTCCATTTCAATAATATGCAAATAAATTTCTTCTCATCAACAAAAACATTCAAATTTTCTTTTTTACTTTTTCGGTTTGATACTTTTTTTTATTAAAAATTCTTTGATGAAAAGCTAAAATAACCATTGAAAAAAATGAATCATTTTCAATCTAACGTGAGGCATATTTGAAATTGAATCACTCAGTTTATCAATTATCGGTGCACTCTAGTTGAACTTTTAAAATCGATGTAAATGTTTTTGACAAGGATATCTGTAGTCATCATTAAACTTCCATCTCTAAATTCTGAATTTGAATACTTTTGCGAGTAGAGAATACATATGCTAGTATTAACTGTTCGATTCATTAGTTAGAACATCATTCATTATAAATACCAGTATAAAATTTGAATCTTATTATAATATTGTGTGTTTGTATATTAACAAACATATTAGCAATGCATTTAAATATTCTTG